GTCTATTTCCTACCCTCTTGTCTCACTCTCGTCCTATCACAACTTCTGACCTGTTTATATTCAACTCCTCATGAGATGCGCCCTTTTGGTAAGTTTACTGGGGCGTCATCACATCTGCTGTTTGCCTTGCCTCCCCTACCTTTCGAGCAGCTGATCCGACTCAAGCCTTCTGTTCGGATCTGCCTAATGGACTAAGAGGGTAGGCCATAGGGGGGCAAGACTTGAAGAGGAGTAAAAGCACAACCGTTACGGCAAAAATTTGATCAAGGGATTGACTTCACTTATTTCTTTGACGAGTTGTAGTTTGGTGCTGAGAATGTCAAGAATCACCGACGATGCCGGCGAAACGTCTGGAAATATACCATGTCCACTGTCCGACTCTGGGAATTACCATGCATTCTACGGACTCCGGACAACATGCGTTCCTCTAGGTCTTCATGCCATTATGACCAAGTTTTGAAAACAAAGTCATACAATTAATATAAATCGAAAGGGGACTGCGGCAAACTAGAGGTATTCGTCTCTACGTGAAGATGGATTTATTTTATCTAATGGAATTTGCCCTTCCATGCACTCAAAAGGATGCTTTCATAGAAGATTGGCAGTCTTTTCTTTCTTTTTAATTATATTTCTGCATAATTGTACGAGTGGAGTCATTTCGATATAGCAAGTATTATTGAATATGGTCCTTTTGACTATATGCATCGTAAGGTTGCTTCTCCAAAGTATAATCTTACTCAGGCCTTCTTTTGAGAATGATCTGTAGAGCCGGCCTCATATTGATTATGTTCATGCAGACACCTTTGGGAATAATGGGTGACGGCTATTGTTGGTTTGCTGCGAACTATTTGGAATTTTCAAGCCCAAAGACGAAACGTAGACACTTGTAATTGATCAAAAACATTTCTGGAGTGCTACCGCCCACCTTTAAGTCTATATAAATACGAACCAGTGGGCCCCAGAGTAAGGAATCACTCATTTCGGCATTCACCTTCTTCATTTTAGTTGATAGTTTAAGTTCACAAAAATTTTGTAATTATGGAAAAATACGACAACTTCTTGTAATCGTTTTTATGAAAATTAGTGGGTCATCAAGTATTCATAAATCGCATTCAATTTAGATAATCGATCGTAATATTCTTTCACACTATAATTTTGGGTTATGATGCCGATTCTCCCTATTATAATCATTGAAAATTTGGCTTGGTCGCTTCATTCGCTCTTTTCATGTATTGAAGTTTTGACCCAAATGATGAGCTTCTGTTTCTGCTGCTCATTTTTTACAATTCTTTGTGATTCCAACAGTCTCAGAAAATTGGCTTGTGTGTATTTGAGAACTTTAGTTTTTCCAGCAGCTGAATGCGAGTTTATACTTAACATTATTTTGACACATGCACACGCATAAGCTTAAGTAAATTTGCATCATATGAGCCATTGCATTTTGTATTACCCACTGATACCTATTCGGATCTTCATATCGTACGACTTATGAATGGTCTTATATTACTTTTAGTCTATCTTCTACTTAGATTTGGTCTGCTTGCGATTATTAGTCTTCCCTCAATTTATCTAATAATCGTAAGTATTATTACCCTATCTGATGACAATATTTTATCTTAACGCGCATTTGCCATTCTTCCCTTTGGAATTAAGGTATTATGTGCCTAAAGATTGATTAAGATATTTTAATTAAGCAATTTTGTGGTTGTCTAGTCCATTAAGACGAGATATTCTACAGTGAGTCGAAATGAGTAAACAAAGACCTAATCAAAGGTATGAAGACCAAGATGGTGTGGCCTTTTGTGTGGTCGCAGTCTCCTTTCGTTGTGTAGAGGTTGGTTGATCCTGTTTTCGCAACTTGGTCATATTGGTAGGATGACTTAGAGAGACGCAGGTAGTCCGGAGTCCATTGTATGCATGATCATTTCCAAAATCGGACTGTGAACGTGGTACATTTCCAGACGTTTCGTCGGCATCGTCAGTGAGTCTCGTCGTTCTTAGCACCACACAACAACTCGTCAAAGAGACAAGTGAAGCCGATCCTTTGACCAAACGTGTGCTAGACAGTTGTGGTATCTCACCTTCTGCCCTAGGCTATTCACATTTCCTATTTCCTCCTATCACGCCTTCACTGTTACAATTTTTACCGTGCTTAATTCGATGTCGTGTGGTGTATTACGTAGGCCTCCTTCCCTAGGTCCTATCACAGTCTCTCTTGCCCGTAAGATCCGTCTGCATTCTCCCTGGTTCACGTATTTCACTCGACGCCCGACCCCATATGTGCTACTCGTGGCGTTATTCGCCTTCCCCTGCGTCTGGGTGACTAATTCGAGACTAAAGCTTCTAAGTAAGTCTCATGGTCACGCCTTTACTATATGGACCACGTCTCTGGTACAATTTACTGTCAGCCAACTAGCTCCAGTTTCCGCTGCGTCTATCCTGTTTCTATCCCTAATACCAAGTCTATGACTTCCCATGCCCTAGTCTCTTGTGTGCCAACCCACAAACGTTGTGGTTTAACATTGAACCTAATCAAAGCAAGCAGTAACACAATATTTGTGGGTTGGCCCACAATAGACTAGGGCATGTGAAGTCATAGACTTGGTATTAAGGATATAAACACGGTAGACGTGGCGGAGACTTGAGCTAGTTGACTGACCGTAGGTCTGTTGTACCATAGACGTGGTCCATTTAGCAAAAGCTTGATGATGAGAGGCTTTAGCCTCGAATTAGATACCCAGACGCAGGGGAGGGCGAATAACGCCTTGAGTAGCACACATGGGGTGGCATAGGTTGAGTGAAATAAGTAAACTAGGAAGAGAGCAGACGGATCTTACGAGGTAAGTGAGAGACTGTGATAAGACCTAAAGAAGTAGGACTGCGTAACAATATGGCAGACTCTAATCAACATTCCCAGCACACGTGTGAGGGGGGTGAGAACGACAGCGTGAAGTGTGAATGGTTTTCATGAATGCCGCTCAAAGGAGCACACCACGCGACATCGAAATAAACACGGTACAAATGGTAATAGTGAAGGCGCGATAGGAGGATATAGGAAAGGTGAATGGCCCAGGGCATAAGGGGAGATACCACAACTGTTTAGCACACGTTTGGTCAAAGGATCGGCTTCATTTGTCTATTTGACGAGTTGTTGTGTGGTGCTATGAATGGCAAGACTCACTGACGATGCCGGCGATACGTCTGGGAATGTACCACGTCCACGGTCCGACGTCCGGCATCCACGGTCCGACGTCCACGGTCCGCGTTCCTCTAAGTTTTTCTATTAATATGACCAAGTTGCGAAAGCAAAGTCAAGCAACCTCTTAACTAAGTCCCAGTGTTCATTCTCTTTTTCATTACTTTTTCATCTCATATTTCAATTTTATAGGTCTAGCCCTATACTTTTTTTCACCTTTCCTTATATGCCTGTTCTTGCGCTCTTCTGTATTTATAGGTCACTGTGGAAGTGGGTCCCGTGGTTAAACAGAGCCGTCTTCCAGATGCCACAGACAACTTGGCTAGTCGAGCCGCGCTAAATACTCGCTACTATCTCAAGCATAATCGAAGCCAAGAGCCTTTGGTGGCTGATGAGGTAGCTAGGGGAATCCTTGCCGATAGCAGAGTCGCTCTTCTTCAGGTAAGCCTTGACGCTGTTCTGTAAAACTATCGTTTGACTATATGCCTGTCATATTATCAGCCGAGTTTCTATTCCTATTTGTATGTATTAAATGGATCGCTGACTTCATATCTATAATAAATCTATATATGTGAACAATTCTACCTCAATTCGCATATATTATGGAAGCTTTTTGTCTTAACCTTTTTTGTTAACCTCGTGAATATAGAATTTTGCTTAAACAATACCCCACTTCTTTCCATATTGTCTCCAATGTCGTTCAACCAGCCACATCTATTGTGGAATATAAACATGTCAGAACTTGTGATAGGACGAGGGTGAGACTATAGGATAGGAAATGGATAGCTGGACTAGGACAAAACGTGAGTGATAGTATAACCGTATCGACAGAAAGTTGGTCAAGGCATTGACTTCACTTATCTCTTTGACGAGTTGTAGCTTCGTTTCTGAGACTGGCAAGACTTACTGATGATGCAGACTACGATGTTGGCGAAACGTCTTGGAATGCACAAGTTAATGGTCCGACTCTGGAAAGGATCATTCATACTATGGACTCCGGACAATGTGCGTTCCTCTAGGTATTCCTGCCATTATGACCAAGTTGCGAAGCCAAGGTTAAACAACATATATACAACGAAAGGAGACCACGACCATACAAAAGGCCACAACATCCTGGTCTTCATACTTTCGGCTATTTTATTGATTTTGATGAACCTCGTATAAAGCCCCCTCTTTCGATCTATTGGTTTATACATAATAATTTCTCTGGTAAAGTTAAGCTCAAGAAGCCGGAATTGTACATTTCTCTCCATTCATATTTTAGTTAACTCCAGAGGAGCTGGCTGTTCGCCTGACTCTGGATGACTACGAGGTGTTTCGAACTGTCACTTCAACTGAATACATCGATGAAGTATTCGGAATCAGCACTGCTTTTGCTGAAGCTACTGCGGCTGCCACGACAGCAGCTACTGCAAATGCAGTAGCTGTAACAATTAACTCTGCATCGGGCACAGTCGCTTCCTCTTTATCTACTGATTCGGGAGTTGAGCTGAGTCCACCCACTTCCCTTAGCACCACGGCATCTACCTCGACCACCAGCAGCAACGCTTCTATAACAAGTGGCAGCATAAATAGCTTGGGCCCGAACTTTGCTCCTGCAGGCTGCATAACTCCTCATATTCAAGGAACAACCTGCTCTCTCAATACTCTTGGCCTCGGCTACCCAACGGGCCACGCAAATCTAGATCGGCTTACAGAACTTGTTAACAGGGAGGCCTACTGGGCCCCTACTGAACTCTGTACGGAGCCCCAGCTGGGCAAGCGAGTTGAGCTACTAAAGAAGTTTATCAAGGTGATCACGAACATTCGTTATTCTTGCTTTCCCTTTTCTCCTTTCTTTGAAGCCCCTTTATAAACTAAATTTAGAGAAAAATTTGTTGAGAATCTTTTTTGCAGCTTTATTTAAGTATTCTTGACTTTATATTATGACGAAAATAGATCCTTAGCTACTTAAGTGAATAGTTGGTGTAATTATAATGACAAATGTTGCATTTAATGATCATTAACTATAGTGTAAATATTCATATTCTCTTACAGATGGCGGATAGTTTTTTTTTTAAAATGAGAGAATTGACGGAAGGGGCTTTTTAAATCTGCTAGGAGCTAAGTTTTCATTTTACGTATACTTTCTCGTGGGGACGAGGATGAAATACGATATCAGGTTTGCCTTTAATCTTTAAGCTCCGGTGCATTTAAAATTTTTTATTTCTAAGAAAGCATAAAGGCCCAATATAATGATAATTAGTGAACTTCACGAATTCTTGTTTCTTTACACTTAATTATTATGCCCAGCACGTGCTTTGTTACCATAACTTCTACTCTCCAATTTCAACACCTTTAGAAATATTTATCTTGCTACAAAATAATCATAATCTTCCTAATTTAA